CTCGAAGAGCCTCCAACACCAAGCCACTAATGCTATAAAGAAAGAGGATGCCAATCAAAAGTTAGCTCGAGGGTTTAAAGGAAACCCGTAGCAAACATAACATCACAACTGAAAGAGCTGCAGAGCTGGCCTACCATAGAAAACTGCATCTTTCCCCTCGGCCCGCTTAACGGCAACAGAGGATGAACAAGTAAAAGTAAAAGTAAGTAGACAGTAACGACAACTTACAGATAACCCCAAGAACAACAAGAACAAAAAAAGCAACCACAAAGAAAACAAACAAAGAACAACAAAAGCTTGTACAATGCCGGCCACTCTCTCAAACTTAGATCACTGGCTCCTTATTTTGAGTGGTTGGTTGGCGGGTGCTGTCGTGTGCTTTGCTCCTTCTTTCGTATCAAATATCTACTATCGCCCTCATTGCTCTTCCTTCCTTTCTTTGCATGTAACTCTTTAGCAACAATTCTTTTTTTCGGCACTTACTCGCATATAACGTATTTGTGTTGCAATTGCCGTAAAAATCTTACAAAAAGTATTTTTTTAAAATCGGAAAAGTAAAAACAGTTCCCTTTGCAAGGATAAAGAGAGAGAGAGAGAGAGAGAGAGAGAGAGAGAGAGAGAGAGAGAGAGAGAGAGAGAGAGAGAGAGAGAGAGAGAGAGAGAGAGAGCAGGTTTATTTGCAGCTTGCATTAAGCAGGCCTATAGAGGACCTTCCTTAAAATGGGAAATGTAAACCGAAGCTTGTCACAAGTCTGAAGCCTGTTTTAACGGGTAGACCTTCAACTAAACCAGTTGTCTGACCAGTCGGCAGTAAATCGTCATCTCTGTCCAAAACATCGCGGTTGACTTTCAGCTGAACCGGCACCAGTCTGTGAAAACGTGTCAACAAAAGAGCGATTTCATAATAGCACGATACATTTAGTCGAGATAAAACTAAGAAGGAACGGGGCGAGTGGAGAGCTCTTCTGAATGAAAAAAATCGCTTTTTTGGTTACAGAAACTAATAACAAAAATACATGTATGGTGGGATCAGGAATTCACGGCCAAAGCAAACAGAGTAAGGTAAGTAAACTAAAAATGATGCTGAATACACATGCAATCCTGTTCGCTGAAGTTACATGACATAGGTCTAATGGCCGGTCTAATATAGGTAGAATGCATCTAGATCTAGTCTAGTAGAGTGATTTGCAGGAGGTGGACTGCGAGAGGTGCCAATCACAATCGGCATCGGCATCGTCCCTCCCCCTGCCCCTGTGCTGACTGTTGACGACGTAATACGGTGTACTATTGTATTTATTAATACTAAATACTAAAACTCAGAATTGTTACTGGTCTTTCTCAGTCTCTGGTCAGGGCCCTGTTGAGGGGGACTAAGACTTAATTCACTAACCACTGAGTCAGCGAGATAGTTCCAACCCCTCTTAGGTTAGGAGGGAATATATATATCGAAGTGTATACAGACCCGGTAACCGGGAACAAAGTCACGAAGTATACAGACCCGGTAGGGGAACTCTATTGTGATTTCGGAAGTTTCAGACCTCAGACCCGGTCACAGAATTCTACACTTCTAAGTGTAGAATTCTGTGGACCCGGTAGAAATCTTTTGTGTGTGTGTGTGTGTGTGTGTGTGTGTGAGAGAGAGAGAGAGAGAGAGAGAGAGAGAGAGAGAGAGAGAGAAAGAGAGAGAGAGGGGGGGTGCTAGCAAAATGTAAATGACATGCCCCAGTTGGCAGGAGGGAACGAGAGAAAGATAGAGTGTGAAATAGGTGGGGACAAAGAAATACAGAGAGACAAACAAAGAAAAAGAGAAGGCGAGCGGTACACAGCGGAGAGAGAGAGAGAGAGAGAGAGAGAGAGAGAGAGAGAGAGAGGGGGGGGGACTGCTCGATTGAAATTATGACATTGTAACTTGTTCTTTTCTTCAAATTGTGATTCCTCCAACTCCAAAACGGAGGAAAAATCATCGTTAATCGAAAAGACATCCGCAATCTTCATTTAGATCTAGGTTAGCCGCGAAACTAGAGGAAACATTTATGTCTGTCTGCTTAGATCTAGATCTAGACCATAGATTTAGAAGAACCTAGGTCTACCCTGAGCCAAGAGGGCGCTGAAACTCTCCGAAATCACAAAAGAGTTCCCCTACTGGGTCTGTATACTTTGTGACTTTGTTCCCGGTTACCGGGTCCGTATACACTCCCAATATATATTTGATGCGCGGCAATCGAGAGATAGAATCTAGATGAGATGTATATCTAGATCTATATTAGATATAGATTCAAGTTAGATCTATATCTAGATCTAGAATCTAGATCTATATCAAACCTAAGGCAACAACTGCAAAATCAAATTATGGTAAAATTCATAGGGGCATATATAGATCTATATATGCCCTCAACCATGTGTATGGCCCTCCATTCAACATAATAAGCTAGGCTTTTTTACTTTGTAGGCCTTACATAAACTATCAAATCAGATACTACAAGTGGACAAACTTAACTTTTAAGGAAGCGGGCAGGCCAGGGCGTGAGCTGGGCTACCCGGGAAGCGCGCAGCTATATAATATACGAAGTGACTATTCAGACTCGAGTCCGAATATGAAAAAATATTATTCGAACTTTGCTTCTTGTCCAGCATGACATCACTTCCGACTTCCAACTTCCTGTGACTCGTGACTCCGGCTTCCTGTCCTGCCTCACTCGTGACTCGCCTCAGGCTGGATAGAGACCGGGATCACTTCGGGCAAAAATTGCGTTTTGTGCAGGAGCCGAATTTTTATCTTATGATGAATTTGAGGCCGGCCTGAAAAGTTATAGCGCTTCTAATAAATGTTTATTTGTCAAGAGGTCATTAGAAGCAATTCAAGATGGCTCGTTAGCATGTGTCGGGGTCGGATGGGTGGCCTGCACACGTGTGGCTGTGTGTGCGTGTCGGGGAAGTGGGGGGGCACTATCGGTCCGGGTGTTGAACGTCGCATACGCGTCAGTCTTTTTTCCCCCGGCAACTGATCATTATTACAATAATAAGCTAGTCTTGACGTAGATCTACTTAATGAATTGTGCGCTGGTCTATGGAATCAAAAGTTGCCGTATGCTCGGCTCTACACAGCAACACAACTTTTTCTTGATAAACAATCGAGATGACACAGGCATGTGTATTTGAACGAATCAGTCTTTTTTTTATACACAGCTCATAATATGCAAGTGCCAGGTGGTCTGCTAATCTTCAATTTTACTTTTTTCTACAACAAAGAAAGTGGGAAACATGGGGTGGGGGGGGTGGG